TGTGTGAACGTTTAAACTGTGGCTTGGTGAAATATGAGGTTCAGATTAATCCTTCAAATTCAGTTATATTTGGAGTGAATGCCAGAGCAAGACTGCTTTCTCTTTGCTGGGAATGATTTGAGGTATTATGTTACGTGTCTCGGTATTGCTATGGACTAATGTTATTACAGAATTAGGTCAAAACCCAATTGCACAAGAAAGAAAAGTATCAAGATTTTCAAACTGTATTTGCCGTTGGGTCAGTAGCTTAGCTGGCAAGGCCAGCATTTATAACTTATCCCTGGCTTCCTTGAAAAGATAGTGAAGGGCTGCCCCTTCTTACTCCAATCCATGATGAGATGAGGGAGGGAATTCCAGAATTTTGACCCGAGTACAATGAAGAAACCGTTACTGTAGTGCAGATAAGATTTACCAGGATGTTGCCTGGGCTGGAGAGTTTCAGTTATGAAGAGAGACCGGACGGACTGAGGGTTGTTTTCCTTAGTGTAGAAAAGACTAAAGGGGGCCATCACGGATGTATTAAATTTATGAGGGGCACAGATATAATAGATACGAAGTCTATCCTTCCTCAAAATTGTACACAGTACCCCAGTGATCAGGGGGCATAGATTCAAAGTAAAGGGCAGGAGGTTTAGAGGGGATGTGAGGAATAATATTTTCATCTTTTTAGGTGGTAGGAATCTGGAATTCACTCCCTGTAAGGGTGGGAGAGGCAGGAAGCTTCATAACATTTCAGAAGTATTTAGATATGCATTTGTGATGCCAGAGCAGACGAGACAAGGGACAAGTGTTAGAAAATGGGATTAGAATAGTTAGATGCTTGTTTTGACTGGTACAGATTTAATGGGCCATAGGGCCTTTTTCTATGCTGTAGACTTCTATTACTCAAGTTCCATGTCCAGTTAATGTGGAATCTGGAGGGTCTGAGAATTGCTGTTCTTGTTTCTCTCCAGCAGTACAGGCCACAAAGAGGATTACTTGATTTGCTGTGGTGCACCATATAGATACTGCAGCCAAAGTGTGATCATAGAGTTGGATAGGGAGCCTTGTGTTTCTCTAGGTAAAATATGATAACCTTGTACTTTCATCAGAGCTTTATGCAATAGCATTGAGGTAGCTATAGATTGGACCAGTGGAATTTTATGTTTGTATCATGGACAGTCAGCATCAAAGTACACTGTAGTGGGTCATAAAAACAACTTGACCTGCTTTAAAGTCACTGTGACTGTGGTCAGAAGATAGCAAATATCATGTGAGCTATTGTATCTGAGTGTCTGCCAACAACAATGACAAGTATTTTTACTAGTCAGTAATTTGGCCCCAGTTATAACCTCAGGGATGTGAGTAATAGATGTAGGAAAACTTTATTTTTATGTTGAACCTGCTGTACCGTGATCATAGCTTCAACTTGATTTTCTTACCCAGTCACCCTTTTCCTGAGACCAAATATCGGTCTATTCCAGTTTTCAATGTAGTCAATGTTGGAGCATTCATAACTCTGGGGTAGCCAATTGCTAAGATTCACAAGTCTTTGAGTGAAGAAATTTATCCTCATCTGTCTTAAATGAACTCCCATTTATCCTGATGCGGTGACCCTTTGTTTCTGTTGGTTGGGGAATCTAGAACAATCTCTCAGTACCCACCCTGTCTAGTCTCATCAGAATCTGAAATGTTTCAACAAAATCCCCTCTCTCTTTATCTCCAGGGAGTATGGATTCCATTTACTCAGCCTCCGATCACAGGGCTACCTTGTCATCTCAGGAACCGATTTAGTGAACCTTCACCATGCTGCCTTAAATACAAGTCTATCCTTTCTCAAAATTGTGCACAGTGCTCCAAGTGTGGTCTCACTGTGACCCAATTCAATTGTTGCAAGACTTGATCCTTGAGCATCAATTCCCTTGCAACAAAGGCTATTTTTTTTTTTTTTTTTTGCATTCATAGGATTTGGGCATTGCCCATCTCCAGGTGCCCTTGAGAAGGTGTTGATGAGTTACATCCTGAAGCACTGAAGTCCATTTAGTGTAGGTATATCCACAATGCTGTTGTGGAAGGAGTTCCATGATTTTGACAAATCAACAGTGAAGAAAAGCAATATATTTCCAAGTCAGCTTGATGCACATTTTGGAGGGAAACTTGCAGGCATAGTGTTCCCATATATCTGCTGTCCTTGTCCTTTGTAGATGGTAATGGTTGTAGATTTTGAAAGTGCTGTATAAGAAGCCTTGGTAAATTTCTGTAGTGCATCTTGTGGATAGTACACACTGCTGCTACTGAGTTTTAGTGGTTGATGAAGGAGTTGATGTGGTACCAATCAAGCAGGCTCCTTTGCCCTATGCGGTGCCAAGCTTCTTGAGTGTTTTTGGAGCTGCACTCATCCAGGCAAGTGGGGAGAATTTATAAAAGTTTACAAAAGCATGAGGAGCATAGATAATGTGAATAGCCAAGGTCTTTTTCCCAGGGTAGGGGAGACCAAAACTAGAGGGTATAGGTTTAAGGTGAGAAGGGATAGTTTTAAAAGGGACCTGAAGGGGCAACTTTTTCATGCAGCAGGGGTGCATGTATGGAACGAGTAGCCAGAGGAAGTGGTAATGGTGGGGACAATTACAGCATTTAAAAGACATTTGGACAGGTACATGAATTGGAAAGGTTTAAAGGGATATGGACCACATGTAGGGAAATGGGACTAGTTAAGTTTGGGATACCAAAGAGTCTGTTTCCATGCTGTATGTCTTTATGACTCTGAGTATTCCATCACACTTCTGACTTGTGCCTTGTAGATGGTGAACAGGCTTTGAGGAGTCAGGAGACGAGTTACTCACTGCAAGATTCCTACCCTCTGACCTGCTGTTGTAAACATAATACTTAAATTGTTCGTTCAGTTCAGTTTCCGGTCAATGGTAACCCTCAAAATGTTGAGAGTGGGGGATTCGGGAATGGTAATGCCGTTGAATGTCAAGAGATGATATTTCTATTCTGTGGGAACTGTCATTTGCCTGGGAGAGATAGTAGGAACTGCAGATGCTGGAGAATCTGAGATAACCAGGTGTAGAGCTGGATGAACACAGCAGGCTAAGCAGCATCATAGGAGCAGGAAGGCTGACGTTTTGGGCCTAGACCCTTCTTCAGAAATGGGGGAGGGAAAGGGGGTTCTGAAATAAATAGGAAGAGAGGGCGAGGCGGACAGAAGATGGATAGAGGACCTATCTCCTCCCTACCTCCCCACCTACACTCACCTTTACTGGCTCCATCCCCGCCTCTTTGACCTGTCTGTTTCCTCTCCACCTATCTTCTCCTCTATCCATCTTCTATCAGCCTCCCCCTCTCTCCCTATTTATTTCAGAACCCCCTTCCCCTCCCCCATTTCTGAAGAAGGGTCTAGGCCCGAAACATCAGCCTTCCTGCTCCTATGATGCTGCTTGGCCTGCTGTGTTCATCCAGCTCTACACCTTGTTATGTCATTTGCCTGGTATTTGTTTGGTGCAGATGTCACTTGTCACATATCAGCCTAAGTCTGGATATTGTCCAGGTCTTGCTGCATTTGAAAATGGACTGCTTCGGTATATGAAAATGGTGCTGAACATTGTGCAATCATTAGTAAATATCCCCACTTCTGATCTTATGATGTTAGAGTCCTTGCTGATTTTCTCATTTATTTTTATTTTATTCCTTTTTATCAATTATGGTTTGGAGCTGTGAATAGAAACCACAAGCTAAAGATGACTTTTGGACTGTGGGTAACTGCTTGTGTTAAAAGGGAAACAGACCAAACAAGCTTTTGTTTATTCGTGAGGCCAGGCCTGGAAGTTAATTGCGGGTCATTGTTTGATCTGTAGACAGTTTGTCACTGGGGAAGAGCATTAGGTTTAAACAGACAGCAAAAATTGGCTATTAACGAAGGTCAGAATCTGGGAATGGTTCCAGCAAGTCTGAAAAAGGCCTTGTGCTCAAGCAGGTGGCACATATTTGGTGGTTACTAGGACGTCATGGAGGAGATGGTTAGTGTGTCAGGGAGTGGTCAGAGTTTGAATTGGGCTTTAGACTGTAATTTCTGTGAACAGGAATCTGGCTATTGGTGTTACAGCTCCCCGTCTAACCTGCCATGACCAGCTCCTAGTTTTCAATTTTCTGAGTTATAAGTTTTACTGCTGTTATCTGAGTGAACTGAAAAGGTGATCTGGATCAACATCTTCAGAAAATTAATCAAGGAATCAATCACCTTTGCCTGTGGAACAACACATCATGAAAATCACTTCAATAGTTTGGCCAGTTTTTGTTATTTTTGTTCATCCCTTAACTGAGTCTGTCTGTCGTTTGCGTGAATGAGGCTGAAAACCAAGATTTCTGGGTTTATAGCATAGACCAATTAGATTACTTCGTTTAATTTACCTCTGCTAATGTTACTATATTGTTAATAAATTGCTAAGTTTTTTTTTATTTAAGATACAAACTGTCTGGAATTGATTATCTGCAGAGTCTGGAATTGGTTATTCAAGAGTCTGGTTAGGAACTATTGAGGTCAATTTTGAGTGACTTTGGTTTAAATTTTCTTGTGCTGTGAATACAGAGGTTGTAAGACTGATTTGGCTGTCTGTCTCCATGCCATAACAATGAAGGGAAGGTTGTTGATGGAGCAGCTGAAGATGGTTGGGCCATGGACACTAGCCTGAGGACCTCAGCTTGCATTTTATATGATCAGTAAACTTAATTCTATGAAGAAAAATTCTACAAATATTGGAAATCTGACAAAAGAAAAATGCTGGAAATACTCTGCAGATCTGGCCACATCTGTGGAGAGCAAAACAATGTTAAGATTTCAGGTCAAATTAACTCTTCTGAAGAACACTCTCATTCGACTGAGAGCATTAACTCTGTTTTCCAGTTCACAAATGCTATCAGATCAGTTGGATACATTGCAATAATATCAATTGGGAAGAGGTGAAACCCCAGTGAGGGATGTTACCAGATTTTACCAGAGTATAGTGTTTTGTGTCTTGCAGGTTTGTGACGTCTCAGCGAAACCCAGTCAAAGACCCTGTGGTCCTGTGGCTGAATGGTGGGCCTGGGTGCAGTTCCTTAGACGGATTCCTCTCTGAAAATGGCCCTCTGCATGTAAGTATTTCCTTTACCGAAGGGTGATGATTTGAGATTCACTGCTGGCTAATCTCTGGCAGATTAATAGTGTTAGCTTTAACTCTCCCTTGGGCTGGTGAGAAAGGAACAGCTAGAGTCCCTGGTTCTGTCCTGACCCAGTGCCCACCCACCAACATTGGGTGGTGCCTGATTGGAAACCTGGGCTGCCCTCCCCCTTTCACCTCCCTGGATACGAATTAGGGATGAAAGTGCAATCCTCTGGTTAGTCTAGCTCACTGACATCCAGGATTGTACATTGTACGAAAGAGTCAGATTAGTTCATAGGGTTAAAGTGATCAAAGAGTATGGGATGGAAGGGGGAGAGGGTACTGAGGTGGATGATCAGACATGATCATATTGAATGACAGAGCAGGCTCAAAGGGCTGAATTGCCTACTGCTCCTGTTTTCTGTATTTTATTTCTACTCATCCATGGGGAAAGTGGGAATGGTGTTTTGACATGAAATGTGGGAATGTGTACAGAGTGAACAGGATAGAGAGAGGGCCACAGAGCTGATGAAAATTCCTTCTGGCCTTTCTAGGAAGGGAATAGAGCTGAAATCTAGGCTCAGCAGAAGCTATGAGCTACAGTGACCAACAATAAGGTGCCTCTCAGTTTGACACCAAGAAAATGATCTTTTATTGGTCAGTAAACAGTTTCAACCACAACTAAAGCGATGGCGAAGTGGGGTGTACAAGAGTTAGTGCAAAACACTGAGGGTCTTCCTGGTGTGTGGAGGCCTAGAGATTGGTGAGAGTGGATATGGGGATTATTGAGCAGGGTGGGGTTTGGGAGTCCAGGCTGTCAATTGCATTCAATTGAGGTTCATAATACAAAAACAGAAATTGTTGGTAAAACAGCAGATCTGGCAGCATCTATGGAAAGAAAGCAGAATTAACATTTCAGGTCCAGTGACCCTTCCTCAGAACTGCTTTCTCTAAATAGATGCTGCTAGAACCTGCTGTGTTTTTCCAGCAACTACTGTTTTTGATTCTGATTTCCAGCATCTGTAGGTCTTTGTATTTTTTTGTTTTGAGGTTCAATATGGACAGGTGGAAAACATTGGTTGGATGGGTGTTTGAACACACATAAAAAGACACTTGCTAACAGAGGCATGGAATCAGAAGATATGTCAGTAATATTTCACGCTGAATAAATCTACTGTAAGGAAAGACAGACAGGTTCTGGATTCTCGCTTCATCAGTTCTGGTTCCCCGCAATAGGAAAGATGTTCTGAAACTTGAAAGGGTTCAGAAAAGATTTACAAGGATATTGCCAGGGTTGGAGGGTTTGAGCTATAGGGGGAGGCTGACTAGACTGCGGCTATTTTCCCTGGATTGTCAGAGACTGAGGGGTGACCTTATAGAGGTTTATTAAATTATGAGGGGCATGGATAGGGTGAATAGACAAGGTCTTTTTTCTAGGGTAATGTAGTCCAAAACTAGAGGGCATAGGTTTAAGGTGAGAGAGGAAAGATTTAAAAGGGACCTAAGGGGCAACATTTTCACACAGAGGATGGTGAGTATGTGGAATGAGCTGCCAGAGGAGATGGTGGAGGCTGGTACAATTACAAGGTTTAAAAGACATCTGAATGTGTATATGAATAGAAAAGGTTTAGAAGTGGGTCTAGATTAATTTAGGATATCTGGGCGGCGTGGACAATTTGGACTGAAGGGTCTGATTCTGTCCTGTACATTTCAATGACTCTGACTAACTGGTCATTAGGAAGATAATATGCATAGGGCAGTTGGTAACTGTGGATTCAGGTCACTGATTCCTGTGTGTTACTTCCAGGTGAATGATGATGGCAGTACACTCTACATCAATAAGTACAGCTGGAATAAAGTAGCCAATGTTCTGTACCTGGAGTCCCCGGTTGGAGTTGGTTTCTCCTACTCGGATGATCAAAACTACGCCACCGATGATGATGAGGTATTGTGGCCAGCTTGCTGCCTCTGTTAGGCCCTGCTAGATGATGCCAGCTGTTTACTGGGGGCTGGGAATCCCTGTGGCACTCTATCAGGATCCATTATTACAATGATACCGCTGCCTTTGCAACGACACTTTGCTTTGCTAGTTCCAATGTTCAAAATTCTGCCCTCCCTCCCTAAAACTTTGACCCCTACTCTATGCCTTATTGCTTTTTGTGTTCTGAAGAAAGGTCACTGGATTCAAAATATTAACCATGTTCTCTTTTCACAGATGCTGCCAGACCTGCTGAGTTTCTCCATAAATTTCTGTTTTTTTTTTTGGTTTTCCGATCACTAGTTTGTAATAAATCAGACAGGTTTCTGACACTGGGAACATACAAAATCCTGTGAGTCTGATATTTTCAGTTTGTGGTATTCTGTGGCTGAGGACAGTTTAATTGCAGGATCAAAGATAAAAACTTGTGTATTTCAATAGGACTTTTCATAACTTTGAGACATCTCAAAGTGCTTCAGAATCAAACAAGGAGTTTGGAGTATTTCCAACGTTACAAGAATGGCAATATGGCAACGAATTTAGGCAAAGGAAGATCCCATAAAAACCAGATAATCTTTGTTGTAATGTTGATTGAGGAATAAATATGAACCAGCACACCTCCAATAAATATCTCCCTGATCTTTGAGATACTGCCATGGATGTTTTACATACATTTGAAAGACAAATGCGGTCTTGAATAAACAGCAAGTCTGAAGACAACACTACTGACAGTGCAGCATTCCCTCCGTGTTGATGCCAGGGGTACCTACCTGGTTTGCTCACTAAAGTCTCTCAAGTGGGACTTGAATCCACACCTTCAGAATCGGAAGCAAAAGTATCTACTAGGCCATAGCAGAATATCTTGGGACATGAATGAAGTCAACCTTGAATCTTTAAGGGCAACCAACAGCCCTGAGCTCAGCACAGTCAATGGCTAGAGTGTATGAATTCACCATGAGGTCCTCACCCTGTGGGAAACACAGCACTAACCCCTGATCTTGTATTCTTCCCACTTTGCTAGGTTGCAGAAAACAACTATCTGGCCCTGCAGGATTTCTTCAGCAAGTTCCCCAACTTCACAAGCAACGATTTCTATATCTTTGGTGAAAGTTATGGAGGTGTCTATACACCAACGCTGAGCCTGAAAATTGCAGATGGCCAAGCTAGGATTAACCTCAAGGTATATGCAATTCCTTCTGCTATAAACTTGGATCTGCCTCTAGATGTCATTGTTGGATGGAGTGTCTCCATTGTAATCAGGAACACTAACCCTGTCCACATACTCTGAACATGAGACTGAAGCATTAGATAAAGGGGCGTTGATGTGAGAGAATAAAAAGCCTGTATTTCGTATTTTGTCACAACAGCCCAGAGAGCCTCTCAGCCACTGTAACCAGTATTATAATGTAGGATACACAGCAGCCAGTTTATGCATAGGGAGCCATCACCAATGTAATAATGGCTGGAGAAATCTGATGTCTCTGGGTGAAAAATTGTCCAGAACATGACAGCGAGCCACCCAGCTGTACTTTGAAAATATGGTGGGATCTCTGATCTCCACCTGAAAGGACAAAGTGGAGACAAGGCTTAATGCTTCTTCAGACTCACCTCTGATGAAGAACTCCCCAGTCCTGTCAGCAGTGTCAGATTTCAGTTTTGCCCTTCAGTTTGTGCAGTGGAGATCAAACCCACTATCCCCTGGCTTGGGGGTGAGAATGATCCTCACAGGTGTAGGCTGTAGTGTTTCCATGTGTTGGAGGTCAAGCGCAGCGGGCACCATCCAATGCCTGGTGTCCAATCAGTACCAACACTTGTATGTCGTGGAGTCAATCATCAGGGTGGAATGTGGACAGGAGCCATGCTTGTTCTGGTGATACTACATTCCATGTTTTAGGGCTATGCAGTTGGGAACGGACTGAGCAGCATTTATTACAATGACCAGTCGCTCGTCTACTTTGGATATTACCATGGACTCTTTGGGGACACGTGAGTATTAAACGAAGCACATTAAATCATAGCACGTGGTTGGTCTAAAACAGGTAAGTGCTCTTACCAGTTTGAAACATTGCACAAATCAGAGTCAACCTGTTCAATGTGGGGCAACGTGTTCCCAATGAAGGAAGCAGGCTTTCATTCCCAGCAGTGTCATATCCGGGAGATGCTTAATGGATTGGTTGGTGTCATTGCAGGTTACCTTTGCTGGTAATTGAAGATTGTTCAGAGGCTAATATAAATCCATATTCCTAGTAATGTTTAAGGAGACCCACTTTTTTATATTTTCTTCAGTCTGAAAAACAATCGTTTACCATTACTGCTTCCTGTCACTCAGCCACTTCATACCCATGCTGTCACTGTCCTTTTTGCTCTTTGACTTTGAAAAAGATATAAAGGAACCTATCTGTTGAAAAATACAGAGAAATGCAAAATACCTATAATGGAGAACTTAAAATGATCTGATAATGTATAGTTGTTTTTAAAGATTTCCAAGTGTTTGTTTAGGAGAATTTTCTATAGCAGTGTCTTTTTCCAATTTCAATAGGACTGAAAAGGCAGAGTAAGAGAAGGGGCTGATGGTTAACATGAAAGAGAATCCAAAAGGTCCCTATAGGAATATAAATAAGGAGTGAGTGATAAAAGGAGAAGTGGGGCTGATTAAGGATGAAAAGGAGATCTATGTGTGGAGACAGTGACCATCAATGAGGTATTAATTGAATACTTTGCATTGTCTTTACCAAGGAAGAAAATGCTCTCCATATGGTGAAAGGAGAAGTAGCTTAGACACTTGACATTTATCTTATGGGCAAAGGTTAAATAGGTTGAGACTCCATGCACTGAAGTTTAGAAGAATGAGAGGCAATCTCACTGAAACATATAGGATTCTTAACAGCATTGACAGGGTCAATGCTGAGAGGATGTTTCCCCTCATGGGGGAGTCTAGGACTAGAGGGCATAGTCTCAGAGTAAAGGGGCAATAATTTAAGACTGAGATGAGGAGTGATATTTTTCTGAGGATTGAGTGTCTTTGGACCTCCTTGTCACAACAGCTGTAGGGACAGAGTCTTTGTGTATATTTAAGGCTGAGATAGATAGATAGATAGATAGATAGATTCTTGTCAATCGGGGAATCAAGTGTTATGGGGAAGACACAGGAAAATGAATGTGTGGAATGTTGGATCAATCATGAACCTATTGAATGGTGGAGCAGGCTTGAGGGTTTAAAATGGGTAAGGAGGAGGTGTTGGATAGGCTGCCTAAAGTTGATAGGTCACCAGAACTGAACTAGATACATCCCAAGGATAATGAGGAAAGCCAGGGTGGAAAATGTCGAGGAACTATAATTTTGCAGTCTTTCTTAGACCTAGGTGGTCCTGAAAGACTAAAGATTTGCAAGTGTTTTTTCCAAAAAGGGTGTAGAGATAAGCCCAAAAACTACCGGCTGGTCAATTTAACTTGCATGTTAGGGAAGCTTCTAGAAACAATAATTTGGGACAAATTTGATCATCACTTGGCTAAACGTTAATTATAAAAAGCCAGGACCAATATGTTTAGAGCAAGTCATGTTTGGCTACCTTGATTGAGGTTTTCAGTTGAGTAACAGACAGATCATAATAGTAATGCATTTCATGCGATGCACAATAACATCAAAATAATGTTTGATCCAATGCCACACAACAGACTTGTGAAAAAAGTAATAATAAAAAAGACAGTAGCAACATTGATTCAAAATTTGCTGAATGACAGAGAATGAACAGTAATGGTTAACGGTTGTTTCTTGGACTGGTGGGAGGTTTACCCTGGAGTTCTGCAGGAGTTGGTGTTAGGGCCTCTGCTGTTCCTGATGTATTATAGTGACCAAGACCAGGGTGTACAGGGCACAAGTTCAACATTGACAAACAATGCAAAACTGTGGTGAGAGTCATTTTGGTTGGAAAAATGCCAACAAATAAATGGTACTACTCTAAAGGGATTGCAAGAGCAGAGAAACCTGGGCACAAAAGTCATTGGAAGATGGCAAGGTAGGTTGAGAGCAGTTAATGAAGCATTGCAGCATTCTTGAGAACTAAATACTAGGGTAAAAAAAGCAAAGAAATTGTATTAAACCTGCTGGAATACCACATCCAGTTCTGAGTGTTCTGCCACCATTATTTGAGCTTTTGTCTCTAGCAGGCAATGTTATGCTAAAGAGGATTGACAGGGTAAATGGAGAAAAGATGGTCCCTCATGTGGGGCAATCTAGAATGCTTTAGGATAAAGGGCAGCAGATTTAAAACTGGTAAGGAGAAACTACTTTTCCCAAAAGGTCATGAATTTGTGGAATTCACATCCCCAATGTGCAGTGGATGCTGGGACATTCAGTAAATTTGAGGAGGGAGATTTTTAATGAGTAATGGATTGAAGGGTTATGGAGAGCAGGCAGGAAAGTGGAATTGAGGCCAAGGTGAGATCAGCCAAGATCATATCAAATGGATCAGCTTGAGGGGCTGAATAGTCTACATATTCTCCTGGTTCTTATTTGTACCCAATGAAGCAATGCTTATGTTAGCTTCCATGATATAGGAACTATAAGTGGGTAATATAGCACTGAAAAGAGTCAAAATATGTTCATTACAGCTCCTCCTGGTGTGTACCTGCATTGCAGTCACAGGCAGTTCAGTGTCTGCCCTAATGCTAAGTTATTCATTTACAAATGGCATGCTTCCATCAGCATGGCATCCTTCAAGTAGTCCTATTTAAGAAGGAAACTGAGACCTGTATACCCACGGTCATATGCCATGATACAGTAAGGATGACATGAGCATGTCTTTTAAAAGATATATACTATGAATGTACAATGCTGGGCAGCAAACTTTTTTTTCATCTTTATTCACTCTTTTATGGGATGTAGCTGTCGCTGACTAGGCCACCATTTATAGTCCATCCTTAATGGCCTTTTGAGAATGTGTGAACATGCAAAGGCATTAAAATGGGTGCAGAAAAGATTCACAAGAATGGTTCCAAGGATGAGGAACCTAGGTTGGAGAAGTTGGAATTGTTTTGTGTGGAGAAAAGAAGGTTGTGAGGAGATGCAATAGATGTAATTAAAACTGAGCGTTCTAGACTGAATAGATTGGAGAAACTGTTCTCATTGCTGGAAGGATGGAGAAGCTGAACACACATTTTAGGTAATTGGCAAAAGAAGTAACAGTGCCATGAGGTGAAACACTTTCACACAGTGAGTGGTTAGGGTCTGGAATGCACTGAAAGCACAGTGGTGGCAGAGTCATTTGAAGCTTTCATGAGGGCAGTGGGTTATTGTCTGAAAAGGAAGAAGTGCAGAGTTCCTGGGAGAAGGTGGGGATGTAGTTAACGATTTGATCCTTCAGAGTCAGCATAGGCACGATGGGCTGAATGGTTATAGCAGAGAAGGGAGACCATTCTGTGACTGAACTTTAGCGAGCCTGTTATATTGTGCTTCACTGGAAATCCATGTATGCAACATTAACCCTTTTTGTTCCTCTATCAAAAAGCTCAATCAAGTTGGTTAAATGTGATTTCTCTTTATTTTCTTTAATCTACGTTTGGTGGAATGACTGAGTTAATTTTAGAATTATAATTAATGAAGGCTTTCCCACCACTGAGATTACACTGTTTGTTTGTTTTATAATTGCTGGCCTTATTCTTCAAATGCTTGCGTAAAACCAAGGGTCGTTAACATTTTGCAATTCTCCAGTCTTCTATTAAGATGTCTGTGTCAAAAGAGGACTGAAAATCTACCTTCCTAATATCCAACATTACTTCCTTCACTAACCTAGTGCAATAAACTCCTCTCATTTACTGTATAAACACATACGCTTTCATTGTGGTAGTATTTCCTTCCTTGATTAAAAACAGTTGTCGGTCTTTGTTGAGTGGCCCAATCGTACCCCGCACCTCCTTGCCAGGCCTATTTTCCTTTAGGTCTCCAATCAGTCTCAGCACTCCTCTTCCTACATGCCTATTATTTAAATGCATATAGAAGATTTTTTGGAATTCCTCTTATGTTTGCTGTCTGGTTCTTCTACAATTCTCTTTGCTTCTTTTCTTTTGCCCCTTCTCACTGACCATCTGAACTTTATACAGCAGATTTTTTATTACCCGGTACCTATGGGACCGGGAGTGTGCCAGTTGATCAAATATTCCAGTTGATCAAGAAGTCCGCATAATCAATATAAAAACACATACTAAGTAATAGAAACATAATGCAAGGAGTATACGCACTGGTATACTTGATTTACAGCATAAATCACTTTGCCATAAGTAAAACCTACCGGCAGAGAGCCTTTTCACTAACAACCTCAACTGACTACTTGGACATCATGGAGTAATGCATCTGGTATTTGAGGTATATAAATTTTGCCAGTTTATCAAGAGGGCTGGTCCACTAAGTGTTGAATTATATAGAATCATAGAATCCCTACACTGTGGAAACAGGCCCTTCGGCCCAACAAGTCTACACCGACCCTTGGAGCATCCCACCCAGACCCGTCCCCCTATAACCCACCTAAGCTACAGACCCCTGAACACTATGGACAATTTAGCTTAGCCAATCCAGCTACCTGCACATCTTTGGATTGTGGGAGGAAACCGGAGCACCTGGAGGAAACCCACACAGACACGGGGAGAACGTGCAAACTCCACACAGACAGTCGCCCGAGGGTGGAACTGAACCCGGGTCCCTGGCGCTGTGAGGCGGCAGTGCTAACCACTGAGCCACTGTGCCGCCCCAATTGGTTATTAGGAAGGTACTTGCAGAAGATTTTCAGTCCTCTTTTGATACAGACATCTTAATAGAATACTGGAGAATTGTTTAAAAGAAAGTTTGCCGTATAACCAGTCCTCAATTGCATTATAAACTAGACGTCTGTCATACGCCCATTTTTCTTTCTGCTTCATTTGTGCTCATTTTGAAGGGTCCTCCTATATTGCTTTCTTTACCTTTTAATCCCCTTTATACTTTCTTGAACATCTTGTAGCTCAAATATTCAGTCTCTGGCCCTGTCCTTTTTTGGAGCCAGAACTCCCATATCATAGGGCAGGTTGAGCTGGGCTTGAAACGAGGAGATCAAGAGCTGGGATGAGAAGGGGAGGAAATGTCTTTGAGGGCATCTTTCTTTGAACGCAATCTGACATAATTATCTGGATCACATCTATCTTTCTTTCTTCTCTGCTAAAGATTGTGGAACAAACTGAACAGATACTGCTGCAAGGATGGATCTTGCAACTTCTTCAACAACACCAACTATAACTGCCAAGAAACAGTACGTTTTCCTGTTCGTTTATTGTCCCCAGCTTGCTTGCTACCAATGTGAGTCTGCACACTGGAGATACCAAAGAGAGACGTGTAGTTATGTAGCAATTTTCCCAACTTGAGAACCTCTTTTAACGCCAATGAGGCAGTGGGAAGACAATGGCTCGTGCTATTAGACACCAAGATAATGTCCTGGGGACCTGGATTCAAACCCACCAAAGCAGATGGTGGAATTTGAATTCAATAAAAATCTGGTATCATGAAACCGTTGCCAACTGTTATACAAACCCAGCTGGTTCACTAATGTGAAGGAAATCTGCCATCCTTATCCGATCTGGCCTAAATTTGACTCCAAATCCACAGCAATGTGGTTGAATCTTAACTTGCCCTTTGGGGATGGGCAATAAATACGACATCCACATCCTGTAAATAAATGGAAAAAAAAAAACATTTTGAAGTCTAATTACATTTGTGAGTAAGGCAGTCAGTTGATCTACAGCAAGACCTCTGGAAAAAAAAATGATGATCACCAGATCATTTGGGCTTTAGTGATGCTGACTATAGGAAAAAGGGCTGGGATACTAAAAGAAGACACATGGAAGGGGGAAACTATCTGAGAATATGTTGAGAAGTAATTGCTTGTGCATTCCAAACCAGAGAGTTTGGTTTCTGTAACACTCCTTGTATAAAATCCAGAGCTCTCAAGGAAGACATTCATCCTATCGTGTCTGTGTTGGCTATTTGCAATTTGGCTATTTCCATGCCTTGCCATTTCCCCAGAATCTTGCAGATTTTTTTCTTGCCAAGTGTTTCTCAAATCCCCTTTTAAAAGTTAATCTTGAATCTGCCAGGACATGCCAAATTATCATCTTACATAAGAAAGATGTTGAATTTCTGATTTACCTCCAGTTCGTTTGTCCACTACTATAAATTTAGGTGCTCCAGTTCCAACTATCCTGCCAATAGAACAGTTTGTGTCTACTCCAACAAAACATTTAAGAATTTTGAACACCACTATTAAATCTCCTGCTGACCACCTCTGCTACAAGGAGAAAATCCCAAGCTTACCAATCTCTCCAATAAAAAATCCCTTCATTTTCTATTACCGTTCTGACCTCCTCCAGTGGTCCCCAACAATACACATACCAATCTTCAGCCAATTCGAATCATTCCACTTGACATCAAGGTTGGAGACACTGGATACTGCAAAGGCTACAGGCCCTAACAATATTTCAGCAATAGTACTGAAGACTTGTGCTCCAGAACTTGCTGCTCCCCTAGCCAAGCTGTTCCAGTACAGTTACAACACTGTTATCTAGCTGGCTATGTGGAAAATTGCCCATGTCCTATACACAAAAAGCAGGATAAATTGAACCCAGCCAATTACCGCCCCAACAGTCTACTCTTGATCATCAGTAAAGTGATGGAAGGTGTCACTAACAGTGCTATCAAGCTGCACCTGCTCAGCGACGCCCAGTTTGGTTCCACCAGGGCCACTCAGCTCCTGATCTCATTACAGCCTTGGTTCAAACATGGACAAAAGAGCTGAATTCCAGGGGTGAGGTGAGAGTGACAGCCCTTGATATCAAGGCTGCATTTGACCGAGTGTGGCATCAAGGAGACCTACCAAAACTGGAATCAATGGCTATCAAGGGGCAGACTCTCCATTGGTTGGAGTCATACCTAACACATGGGAAGATGGTCGTAGTTGTTGGATCATCTCAGCTCCAGGACATCTCTGCAGGAGTTCCTCAGGGTAGTGTCCTTGGCCCAACCATCTTCAGCTGCTTCATCAATGACCTTCCCTCCATTATAAGGTCAGAAGTGGGGATGTTCACTGATGATTGCACAATGTTCAGCACCATGTGCGACTCTGTAGATACTGAAACAGTCCATGCCCAAATGCAGCAAGATCTGGACAATGATAGTAGGAACTGCAGATGCTGGAGAATCTGAGATAACAAGGTGTAGAGCTGGATGAACACAGCAGGCCAAGCAGCATCATAGGAGCAGGAAGGCTGACGTTTCGGGCCTAGACCCTTCATCAGAAATGG